TCATAAAAATGTACTAATTAAGGGTGATTCCTTCAAAGCCATAGAACGCATGCCTGGGAGGTGAGGAACCAACAGTCCGCGCATGAATAAGCCAAATCTGTTAAACAGATGTGCAGGCAAAACTCAAGTTCTCTAACAAAACAATGTCCAGAAGTAGACCAACAACCAGAACCTTCGGCTGGAGTTCACAGCTGGTGAGCGAAAAAATAAAAAAGATACTCACACACAAAAATATACACATATCAATACAAAACAAAATGAGAAAAAGGCAAAGGAAATATATATATCAAAATAAAAAAATATACTAAGACATCTAGCATGTAAAGATATTTTCCAATACAGTCTGTGCAGTGTTGCCTACGTCACGTTTGTCCACAGCTTTCTGTTTCATGTACTGTCAATCATTTCTATTATAAATATTCGACCATGCCATGGTGCCAGACTTCAATATCCATCTGGGGTCTCTCCCTTCCTCTTGTCCCCCCCCCCCCCCCCCAATTTTCCTACTGTCACCAAGAGTTCCACAGACACAATCAATGCCAGACTGCATAAGCTCTAACAATTCTTACCAGACTCAGATCACTGTCTCTGAAACTATCCTGTCTCGATCTTCTTAAGCATGCATATGGAATCATTTAGAAAGAATTCTGTGTCTCTATCCATATCAGTACTTTTGTAACTAACATCAACTCCATAGTCAGACTATTTGTAGTCAAGGCAAAAGCACTAATAATTTCTGTTATAGTTCTTCTCTCCTCAATCCAGAATTGTGAAAGCCCAAGAGCTTTGTACATGTCAAATGATGGATTCGTCAATGTAAAATACCTGCACCTCAATCAGCAAAATTCTCAAGAATAAGGGCTTAAACTTCCACCTCCACCATCAATTGGTAGTAATATCCTGTTGAACCCTTCTAGATTATATCGATATAAATATATAGTTTATATTTTTCTTTAAACAATAGATATCTGTTTTCTAATAACTTATAATTTTGCTATTTCATACTGAAAAATTATATAAGCATGTCTTTTATGCACTGCAGTATTAATAGTCTCTGTGGATGAAGTTTATGTGTTTTGTTTATGACTGTGCTGTTGTTCCTTTTTTTAGTGGTCTCTTTGACCAGGCCACTAGATGGGAACTTGTTTCTAGGCTGACCACGGAGAGGTGACGTTAGGTCATGACCAGTTTATGTCCTGGTGCACCATCATGTATGGTCCAGCACCTATGCACCGTGCTGCGCTGTTCAATTCACAGGAAAAAATTGTATCTATATCATTTGGTATAATGTTCCTGCAATCTGTCTACACAAACACAAGTAAAGTTAGTTGCATATCCTTTACAGGACACAACAGAACCAACCCCATAATTTTGGGCTGTTTGGTTTTATTAGGTAATTGTTTACCTTCAGTAGTTTGCCACTGCTTTCTGAATGGTCAACTCAAGATATATTGTCAAAATAACTGCATGCTGCCAATTTACCCGCAGCTGATACCTCAAAATTACGAATGGTGTCTGCAATGCCTAAGCCACAGAAAACCAACAAACGCACTTAAGAAACTCTGATTCATAATTAACATTTCAAGCAAACAAAACAAATAAAGAAAGAAAGCTAGCATGAGTACACAATCTGAAACTAAATAAAATTAATATCCTGGACAAAAACAAACGGCTGCTGTGACAGCACAGTGCAGGCCATCACTGCCACTGTTGTTGACACCAGGAAACAATCACCGCCCGGATCCCGTGACTATTCCGCCAGTGCCAAGAACAGGAGCAGGAACAAGCAGATGAAGCTGACAACATGAAAGCAACACTAGGGATGTGTCATTACTGGGGTAGGTAAAGTGTACACAATGTTACAGTATAAAGTGTACACAACTGTTATAAAGTGTACACAAATGGTCTAGCATAAAGTGTACACAAAAATTTTCTAATGTAACAAGTAAACAAATGTTCTAACATAAAGTGTACACAACTGTTATAATAGGGATAGTACTCAAATGTTCTAAATATAAAGTTTACACAAAACCCCCATGTTTTTAAAGCTGTACCCAGACTTCAGATTTTATGCTTCTAAACATTTTGTGAAAATTGTATCAGTTTGCCAGTGCTGAAATGCTTTCTCATCTGAGTGTTGCAATCCAGCAATTTATATTTGTATCTTGCTCTTCTCCTATCACGTCTGCAAGTTGTCACTAAGTTTTTAAGTATAGTTATCTCCATAACAAGTCCAAAATATCTTGTCTCTGTATTTAATTTCTTTTAACAATTTTTTGCCTTAGTAATTTATTTTAAAATTAATTAAATTCTCCATTCAGACATTCATAAAATGTTTTACTGACTACCACCTGACAGTCATTTATAAAACAAATTAGCTCTCTTTCCTTAAGCTAAGTCAGGGAAATCTAAACTGTTTCTAAGCTCTATTCAGAAATTCAGGTTGCATAAATCAAAACATTTAGTTAATATTTATTCAGTACTGAAAAATCTTAAAGGAAGCAAAGTTGTAACACTGTGCCTTACCAAGCCTGTCATAAGAGGCAACTAAGAATAGGGGCGGCTAGCCCATCCTGTCAGAACATAAACCACAGAAAAGAAATCACTTAAGAACATGTTCCATGGAAGATAAAGGTACCAAGAAGAAGAAAGCTTTCTATTTTTCTCAAAATTGCTGCAGCGATAATTTTTTTTATAGATAAATGTTCACAAGGAAAGAAACTAATATAGCTTTATAATGCCCTTCATAAGTCGTGCCTCAAACAACTCCTTGATGAGATCCTACAGCAAGCAAACAGGAACAACGCTGTGCTTCCCACACAAATCATGTCCCCATGGCAAGGGAGGCAAACAGCAGAGCCAGTCATGTGACTAAATTAGTGTCAGCCAGAATTACTCACGGCTTGTCACACCACCCTGAAAATGATCTTTAACCCTCTGCCCGTGTGAGAAAAGACCAACTAATTGGATACATACTGTCTTAACTTCTATCAAAAATGGAGAAAATCATAGTTATTTCTCTGGCTATGAGCTATTTCAACTTTTTTTCTTTCTTTTTTCCAAACAAATGCACACTCAACCTTTCTCAGTTAATTTTAGAGCCACATTTCAAGTCTGAATTATACATTTTTTTTTCTTTTAAATTTAAAAAAGATGAAGGCACTCCTATGGCAGATGCTAGGAAATATTAGGCTTTCCATAACAGTGAGTGTTGTAAAAGGACAACAGAAATTACAAATAAACTAGAGACCTTTCCAAACAAAAGTCAAAGAAGTCATATCACAGCAAACTACCCTTATTTACCTCTCTCATTAATCAAAGAAATATTTGTCAAAAACTGTGTAGAAAATTATAACCCCGAAAAAGCGCAAACATGTTTTAAGAGCACTGTCTTGAACGACCTGACAATGTCACATTTCAAAACATCTTGAAGTGAAGGCAGGAGCAAAGTTCTTTTGGCATCTTTTAAGTAAAAGTCATTTTGGCATCTTTAAAGTAAAGGTCATTTTGGCATCTTTAAAGTAAAGGTCATTTTGGCATCTTTAAAGTAAAGGTCATTTTGGCATCTTTAAAGTAAAGGTCATTTTGGCATCTTTAAAGTAAAGGTCATTTTGGCATCTTTAAAGTAAAGGTCAAACCCAGTTAGCCCCAACCAGTTCAAGTAGAGAAAAGAGACAGAAAAAAAAAACACACACCAGAATTTCAAACTCCTGAAGTTTTACTGGAAGGGAACTTTCGTTCCGAACAATTAGCATCTCCTCCTCCTTCCTCAGCACCATCCTAGTAAGCACTCAGCTCTTCTCAGCAAGGTAAAGTTCAGGTTAAAATTACATTATGTAATTTTATGTTAATTTATATTTTCATAAGAGAAAAAGTCGGCACAGAACCAATTCTAAATTACATACAAAGACAGCAGGTGAAATGGTTTGCCCACTCAGAGAGAATGCCTTGTGACACCATACCATACAAAGCATACACGGAAAGAGAAGAAGAACGTAGAGCATGAGGTAGAACAAGAACACATGGAAGGATAACATCAGAGAAACTCTACAACAGCACGATGTGCCTATGGTCGAGGCAGCCAGAAGAGCTAGAGACATAACCTTATATCTCCCTCGACACCTACAGCGGTAAAAAAGGAAGAGAAGAAGAAGAATTTTATGTAACAGCTTTTGTATTTATGTATTTTAATATTAGGCAGTGTTTAAAGTATTTTATAAAACCCCATTAACCCCAACCACCAATGAATAATCTGCCAATAACAATAGGTTTTATTCACAGAAAGGGATTAATCCTTCTCTCTCTATTTCTTATGGGAAAATTCAATTTGGTATTCTTGGTATACTTCAAGTATCTAGAATGGATTAAGGACATATACCGAGGTACAACTGTACTCAAAAACAACAAAACTAAATATGAGATTATACAACACATCTTCAACATTATGCAGCAAATATTCAAAAACAAAAAAGTAGCAACAGCTTGAAAAAAAAAAAAAAAGGATGATAATCTAAACAAAACCTCTTGAACCACTACTACTACTTATATACATATGTTTGTGTGTATGTGTGTATGAGTGTATGTGTGTATGTGTGTATGTGTGTATGTGTGTATGTATGTATGTATGTATGTATGTATGTATGTATGTATGTATGTATGTATGTATGTATGTATGTATGTATGTATGTATGTATGTATGTATGTATGTATGTATGTATGTATGTATGTATGTATGTATGTGTATATATATATATGACAGACTGAAAACATTTGAGAAAAATAACAAATCTGATTAGTCTTTAAAAATAATTTAAAAAAAACAAACAGCAGAAGGCATGATAACCTACAGAAAGTACACGTGAAAATCTTAAAGGGGTACAAAAAGCATGTAAAATGTGTGCAGCAAATAAAATTAAAGCATACAGAACCGATACACATAGCAAGATTACAATGCCAGTAACACAATGGATAAAATGTAATGCTGCAGAAAATGTACTTACAAACTGTGACTCAAAGTCACAACGTGCCGTGTTCTTGAATGCATTTGGAGTTGCAAAATCTGCAGGACACTGGTTGATACTCATCTCCCTCAGGGCCACATCCACTGTGACGACACCCCTACAGAAAAAATTGTGACTTTAAACTTATTGTTTTTGTTTCCCCCCAAAATGGGGCCCTGTAACTCAGATGAGGATCCTTTTGTTTGTTTGTTCGAGCAGTGTAATTGCTGCGTTGTGCCCGTTTACAGCAAAGCCGCTATATTTGATCCATTCGGCAAACACATCTGACTTCAACATGTATTGTTCACTAAGTTAACCTTGCCGTTTGGTTTCATGGGACATGGTGTGGTCTTATGAGGAAATGAGTTAGTTAAGGGTATTTGCTCAAATTAGACTGGCTAACTTATCCCAATTAAAAAAATTAAATTAAAAAAAAAAAAAAAAACTAGCAAAATCCAACCAAGAGAAAGTCAACAAAAGCTTATGTCCCACTGAGAGATAAAATGGAGAAAAAGTAGAATGCTGCTCATTGAGTAGCAGAGTGTTGGGATTCTACTTTTCCATGTGTGGGTTCTAGGGCTTAATTTGGTTTGTGGTGTGGTGTGGTGGTGGTGGTTTGGGAGTGTGTGTGTGTAAACAGAACAGCTTCTCCTTAAAAAAGCATGCAGTGAAAGGCGACTAATTAATGGTTTGCTGAAATCAAATATGCCAGGCCCATTCACAGCCTAACTGTAAATTACAGCAGTGTGACAGCTACCTTTTGTAGAGAGACCATAGAAGAAGATAAAGAAAAGAAGGTTAAGTGAGCAAACATTAACTGGGGATTTAACTGAATATAAGCTAGGGATTTAAACTGCAAAATTCAGCTTGGAGTGAACAGAGGGTCTCTGTGACTTTCTACAGTTCTAATCACAAAAGTCACCCCATCTCGTTAAGGCGCTAGATTTTGTGGTTGTTCCCATGTGTCGCTCCAAGTTCAAGGGGTATTATGAGATGCCCTTTTCCCCCGTCTATACACACTGTGGAAAAAGTAACTCGTGTTCATTTGACGCAGTCCAGTCTCCCAGATTAAACTGCAGCTTTCTTTTCGCAGCTGTCTTTTGTGTGAATGACTGTCGTTTCTCAAATGTGTTGCTGTGATTAGGTCTCAGACACCAAAGGTGCCTGTGTACAAGGAAGAAGTACTACAGGAAAAGGTGTGATGCTTCGTGAGTATCGAATATTTTACACTCACTGGTTGTGGCTGTCCCTAAAAAGGTCCAAACAAGGAAAACATGACACCCCTAGATTATAGGAGTGTCCAGGGAAATCCTCAAAAAATCATGCAGCCAATGAGATGGGGTGACTTTCACGAGTTTTACTCTTTCTACTTGCATGGGGAATAAACAGGTGAACTTTCAGTCAGGCCGCAATTGGTACTGTCAGTATGGGGACTCTTCACTGACTACTGAGGAAAGAGATGAAGCACTTATGGGAATGTCCTGAGTGCAGTGATGCCAATTCTTGATTCCTTCATTTACTGACTAGCTATGGCACATGGATCCATCAGGCAACACATCAGCTAACATCAAAGTGGCATGTTGTTTTTAGCTACAATATGTGTATGAACAGACATCCCCACGTAAATGTATATTATACATCAGCTTTACAGAACACATCATAGCAAATCTAGGCTATTCAGTGACAAGTCTTTATCTGTAAACAAAAAAACCTAAAAATAATGTCGCCAAATAATTCTAAAATATATTACCACTGAAAAATCGTATGAGTATAACCATTGAAACCCACAGTGTAAAAAAAATACACAAAGAAAGAAAAACATGCAAGAGAATTAGAAACAGATTTGAATAATAACATACAAAAACAGAAAACAAAATGGTTTGCCCACTTACAAAGGATGCCATACAACGTAATACCATGAGGATTACATCAAGAGGAGGTAACAGCATGAGACAGACCAAGAACAGCATGGAAGTATAAAAACAGAAAAAATCTACAGCAGTATGATGTGTATATGGTCCAGACAAGAGGTAGAACATTGTATCTCCCTCAACAGATGAAGCGGTAAAAAGGAAGGTGAAGAAGGACGAGTTGTTTGCATATTCTTTACAGGATATTCCAGAACCTACCAAAGCAATATTTGTAGGTTTTTGATTTCATTAGGCAATTTTATATTCAGTCGTTGTTGCAGACAAGTGCAAAAATAAAGGAGGGACACTGAATGAGCTGCATGAGATGTCAAAAGAAAGCATGAGCTGAGGAGTACTTATGTGTCAAATGAGGATAAACATCATCAAGTAGAGAAGAAACAGTACAGCCAAAGGTGACAAGATTTACTTACTTGAATTCAATGCCCTGTTTAACATCATCTTTGCCAAAGAAAGGAGCCAGGTATGTGACACTCCAGGTGTTAGACATGCCATCACATTTGAACTGTGGGCGCAACCATTCACCATCTTCATACTGTGCTGCCCGATACGTGTATGGGTAGTACTCAAAGCGGACCAAGCTGGTACCATTGTAGTCGGACCTGAGAAAAAAACAGTTTCCAAAATACTATATTTAATATTATTTTTAATTATTGGCAAAGAGGCAAAGAGAGAGAATAGACTATATTTCCAAAAGGCTGAAAATTGGGTACGCAGGCCCAATTTACACTTGGCCCTTCCAAGCTTTCATACGGCAGTTGTATTTAATGTATCAAGCATATTATGTTCATTTTTCAAAATCCATTGTACAAATGTATATTAAAAATACAAAGCTATGGAGACAAATGCATACCTTCAAATATATGTGCTAAAATAATACTCACATTGCAGACACTTACATGCATACGTACACATAAACAACACTTTTACACACAGAGATGCACACACTGATGATACACACTCAACATAACCAGATATATGCACAATCACAAACAGAAGACATACACAAACCAAGACCGAAAAAAAAAAAATAGTCACAGCATGTACACACAGACAACGACATACACAAAGATAACAACATACACCACAGTCCTTTTCAGACACAAAACATACTCATTAGACACAAACACAGAGACTCAATACAAACACATCATTCACAAACACAGCCCAAATAGACACAATACATACACACAGAAATACCACTCATACACACAACACTCAGAAAGATACAACATAGACACACACACAAGAAAGCAAGAGAGACAGAGAGGGAGAAACCTCAACTTACCTAATCATTGGTTTAGCAGTGAACTTCTTCAGACCTACAAAGTTGGTGGCCCACCGAGCCTTCATGTTAAAGAACCAAGGCTCATCTGTATAGTATGAGTTCTTGCCTGCAAAATCGATGGCCCTGAAAAAATCAGCACCTCCAACGCCGCCGACACTTGTGGCTTGAACCTTCCAGGCATATGGACCAAAGAATTCTCTAGTGATGCCATTTAAAAAGCGGGGATCGGTGTTATTGATTGGTGGGGACATACGGAACTTGTAGCGATCAAAGAAAACACCAGCTCCAACGATCTTCCAGTCTGCCATGACGTTAGCAATGACTTCTGCATAAATCTGGGTCTCATTCAATCTGCGATCACCTCTCAAGTTGCCAAACTCCTGCAATTTAATTAAGGAACATTTTCATTTATATATGTTATAAACACAAAATATGACTATTAGGTTTAATGACAAAAAAGACACAATGATACAGTATCAAAACGTGTCTTTCTTCCAGTGTGGGTTCCGTGCTCCACTGCTACTGAACTAGCATGTCATAAAAAAGTAAACTAATTAAGGATTTGCTGAAATTGCATGTGATATAACTGCCTAGCTGTAAACCACAACACAATGTGCCTACTGTCTTGTTATAGGCAAGGATAAAAAAAGAAAAAAAAATGTCTTCTACCATTAAGCTTCCTAGTTATCAATAAATAATCTACCATGCAGCAACACAATTGGGAGGACATCCAGACATAAACAGTAGGCAACCTTTATTGGCCTGCTTTCAGTTTTTCCTCTCCAGTTTGGTTTGATAAGAATGTCATGTCTTTTATTGTGGCTAAAATATATCTAATTTCTCTTCTTTAAACTATTTCAGACCACCTATTCTATTCATACTTCACAAGGAATTAGAAAAAAGGAAAGTGGAGTAGAGTTCAATAAGACTATAAAATTAGATATACTGAAGAATAATCATGGACTTTATTTACATTTCTTGTGATACCAGGCCTATAAGGTTAATAATGAAAAGAAAAAACTGGATTCTAATGGAAAGACCGAAAGAGAAACCCTGCTGCACTGTAAAGTAGACAGTAAAGTCACAGGCTAGGGAAAGTAAACATGAACAAATACTTGTCGAAAGTGTATGTAGTGAGCTACAAGCTTGTTAAAGTTAACGCAATGAAACTAGTTGTATGGCACTGAAGAAAAGCGGATAAAAAAGTTAGAAAAAGACAACAGTTCAAAGTGCTTACTGCTGATTTAAGTTCCCATGTAGGTTTTGGGGCCCCATTTTTAGGGGGGGAAAGAATAGACCCACTGCCCCTTTAACAACACGTCATAAAACATCAGAGTGCATCTGCCTGAGAGGCCAGGAGCCAATAGTCTGCATACAAGTAAGCCAGATCTGCAAAATGGATGTGCAAGCAAAACTTTGGTGGTTCTAGAGCAAGACCAAAGTCCAGAAGTGGACGATTCAGCTGGACTTTCTGTCAGAACTTATGGCCAGTCAGCGCTAAAAAGAAAACTGATTTAAGAACCAACACAGCATACTGGGCATACCCAAAGATACTCTGCGCCCTGCAGCAAATGTCTTAAAACGTCTTTCTATGCTGACTGTTCCAGTGGCATACTGGTTGTATTCACATTGTACTGTTCCTCTCATTTACATTTCTATTCTTGATGTATCCACACTTAATTCTAAATTCATGCAACCGTAAATGTTTTATCTAACATCATATCTCCCCCATCAGTCTTCATTCATAAATAAATATTCACAAGTATGTGTGCTTTAAAAAATGAGATGCTCCCTGCCCTGCTGTCACTTGTAGCAAAAAAACTCTTTCATCATCTCACACTACAGGAATGTAACCAAAAAATACAGATCTATGGAAGACAATTCTGACCACTTACTTAATATTTAACAACATTTTGCAGAAAGACAAAAAAGTGTAAAACAAGTACTGTTAAATGTATAAATCTATGGAAGATTCTGACCACATATATTAAAGCATATTTTGCAGAAAGACAAAAGAGTGTAAAACACTGTACTGTTAACCTTTAAAACACAAATCTGTGGAAGACAATTCTGACCACATTTTTCATATTCATATTAAAGCACATTTTGCATAAAGACAAAATGAGTGTAAGACACAGTGCTGTTAAATCTTTAAAATACAAATCTATGGAAGACAATTTTTGACTACATACCTCATATTCATCCACGTTTTGCAGGAAGTTGGATAAAAAGTGAGCAAGACGGAGCGCAGTTCGACCTTGAGCTTCAAACTGCTTCTCCACACCATAAGCAGCATCTCCTGGCAACAAGAGCTCATAAGCTTTTTTAGTGTTGCAGTTCTGGGAGGTAGTGTCTCTGTATCGCTGTAAAATCTTTAGCATTCTGTTGACGGCTTGTTCGTCTGTAGCTTCACGTTTGGACCGTTTATGGGCAGCACCCTCTTTAATCTGAGACAAAATTAAATAAGAATTAAATCCTTAATAAGAGGTTAAACAGTCATGAGCAGGATGTGATGATTCCTTAGGTGAACCTAGTGCCAGAGCACGATGTATCGACTTTGTATTATGGAAGCCTCCTTAGATGACAGGGATGCTTAGGTTCTGCACCTGCCTACTTCTTGGGGGCTCACCAACATTACAAGGATGCGCTGGACTGGTCTGATGAGGTGGGGGGCATCACATGTGGACTAGGCATTAAAGACGACAGCACAGCAGTGAAACTATCCAGGAAGGGTAAGTCAGGCAACAAATGCATGAAGAAGTGAGATGAGTCAGCCGAAAGGCATAAATATCTCAGTCATGCTGTAAATTAGTTAGTTAGTTAGTTATTCCTCTTGTGCCAAAGATGGCGCATAGGGCAGAGGTCATAGCTTTCCACGTCTGTCGGTTCGTTGCCACTTGATGTAGGTCTTGAGTGCGACTGAGACCTATGGTTGAGCTCTCCCTTGTGATGGTTCTACGGAGAGTTTCTTTTGGTCTTCCCTGTTTTCTTTTACCCTCTGGTGACCATATGAAGGCTTGGTGGGGAAGTCTCTGTATGTCCATTCTGAGTACGTGACCGATGTAATTCCAGCGACGCATTCTAATAAAATCAGACACATATTTTTGTTTTGTTTCCTGTCTTATAGATGTATTGGACCTAAAGTCCGACCAGTGAACATTCAATAGCTTTCGGAGGCATCTATTCTCGAAAGCGACTAGTTTCTTATCGATTGATACTGATGATTTCCAACTCTCACAACCATAAGTTAGCACTGGGATCACACAGGAATTGAAGACCTTAAATTAGCACAATGCAATTGTTTATTGGAAAATCTCAGAATAATCAATTCTGGATAAAATATTTTTAATATACTATCAATAATTTTATTTTTTTAAATGTTAATGTTACAAGTCTTTTTTTTTTAACACACTGGAAATATTTCCGATAACTTCCTCAATCAATCAAGTGTCCTATCGACAATGACAAGGTTGGCTGTATTGGGCCTCCAACATGCTCCGTCTTTCGCATTACTGGTTGTACACTCTCTAAGACTGCTGTTTAACCATCTCACTGGTATCACTGTCCACCCTTTGTTGACATGCTTTTATTTCTATAAGAGTGGTATGTTTTATTAACGTGCCCTAAATATATCAGTTGTCTCCGAAAAGTGAATTTCTAATCTCTTTCCGTTTTCTTCTTCTTAGTATTCACTGATTGTAAACTCTGGTACAAAGTCTGGTTGGTCATCTGCTTTTGGACTTGTTCTAGACCTTGAATAATGCAGATCTGCCTTATATGTATGCAGCCATTTGGTTTTTCGCCGCTCAGGCGGATGCGCTCTGACTAATCCCTAATCGGACATCTTTTATAACAAGGCGACTTTTACAAAATGCCTTTTAGACAGGCAAGTGGGTCTCTCCCTCCACCCCAACCAAAATGGGGCCACCCGGATCCCATACGAAGAATAGTCTGTTATAATATATTAAAATGGAAAAAACCATTACTTGCTTTTAATATCCCCTTCCCAGTTAAAGTGATGTTTACGGTTGTTCTTTCATTTTTCATCATCCGTTGTGTGTTGTCAGACCTCACACAGTGCTTGCATTTGATTCCTCCACTCTATTCTACTATATGCAACTGATTTCTGATATGGAGTTCAGGCGAGCACTCTTTAGCCTTCTGTAATAGTGTTCTTCTTAATGTTTCCCATGAATATCCTCTTTTTGTTTCCTATTTCAATACCTGTTTTGTATTTCTTTGCTCATTACGTCTGTCATAAAACAGCCACTCTCTTTTTTGTCTTAGACTCGTCTAGATCTTGTCACTTCTATGCAAATGAAGTTCAGTTTAAAAGTCGACTTGCCTCTAAAGGTAAATGGTCCATCTTTTGTAATTAGGTGTCTATACGTCAAGTTAAGTACTCCAAAATTTCCTAATTGTGTTTGGAACATTATATTTTCAAATTCAACCTTATAGGTGATTATTGGTTATTAATGAAGCCAAAATTCTAATGGCCGAATTACTGCTTGGACGCGGATGAATCTCATCCCACTTTCTTCGAGAGAGACGCTTGGGTAGAACTTATTCTTAAATGAGCTTCCAGAGAAAATACACGCTTACTGCCTTTGTGCAGATCTGTCTATTTCTAGTGATCAATTATGCATCCTAGAGGAATCCTTTTGAGCATGGGTATGTAATATTATAGTTTATGAGTACCATATTTGTAAACCTGCTGCTGAACGTTGGACCGAACTGGCTATGGGATGCTACAGAACTGTGACGTACATTCTAATTGCAGAAGGGTGTCCAAACTATACAACCACATTAAAGGCAGAGGTTAGTATTCCTTGGTACTCCGACCATAGGGCCCAGAGAGACTGACCAGCAGACAACACCGTTCCACAGCCTGGTGCATTTGTAAAATGTTTGTTGCAAGGTGCTAGGCGAAATCTAATTTAGAGCAGGCTTCAAGACAAACTCCGACTAAATTTAGTTCAGGTCTGTAGATGCGCCTATATGAAAGGGGAGAGGGCTATACCAGAAAGGTTGTCCTACTCCTGCGATCATGTCGGAACTTTGCCTCCTATCGTCTCTGCTGATATGACACACCATACTCCTGCAGTCTTAAATCTCTAGCAGACCTCTGAGCTATGTATATATGTGGATTAATGGAAGATTTAGGAACTAGGTATATGGGGTATGAGATGATTGCTAATTCTGGTTTTTCATTTTGTCACAGGATTTTAACTTTAGTGGAGGCCCAGTCGAAAATCATTCACATTACCACCAGCAGCCACAAGAACAATGGGTCAGAGTCTATACAGATGGGTCCGCAGAAAGTGCAGTTAGAAATGGTGGTGCTGGAGTGTACATCGAATTCCCAGATGGTACTAGGGATAAGTCCAGCGTACCAACCGGGAAGTACTGCCATAACTACGATGCAGAAACCCAGGCTATCAAGATAGCTACAGAGAAACTGCTAAATACCAACCTTGGCTCACAGTATGTGGTAATGCTGACAGAAGCTAAATCAGTACTTCAAGCACTCCAGTCTAGGAAACTACCAGAATTGCAAACACCGCTGACACAACTCAGCGTTCAGCGAAGAGTTGTAATGCAGTGGATACCGTCTCATTGTGGAGTGCCTGGAAATGAGAAAGCTGCTCAACTGGCAGGGGAAGGTGCCACAAAAGAGCAGCCGGATGTACCAGTCACATACCACCAAAAGAAAAGAATCATTAAATTGATCAGGAAACCACCAGCCCCAGCACAAGACAACTATTTTATTATGGACAGACCAGAACAAGTCCTTATCCTCCGCCTCAGAACAGGGCACAACCGATTACGTAACTACATGTACACAAAATTCAAGATAGGTGTATCAGCCATGTGCACCTGTGGAAATGTGCCCCAGACAGCAGAGCATGTACTCCAGGACTGCACCGATTTTGACACATTAAGGCAAACCTTTTGGCCAGAAAGAACAACAGTGGAACGTAAACTCTATGGACCACTGAATGAACTAACAACGACAGTGAAATTTATACAAGAGACAAAACTGCTGATATAGACAACTTATTTCAGGCGAACGAAAGAAGACCACCAGCAGCCAGAAGACACCAACATGGTTCCTCCAGTCATTACCGTCCCTGTGTCCAGTTGGTGACGGACTGTTCCAGTGAAAGTACTACCTGGGAGAGATTCATCCCCAGGGAGCTGTGTGTCCTTTATTTTTGTCTGCCTTACCTGAGGCAACAGACTCTGTTGTGTAATTATGAACTTTAGGCTATGTATAGCCAGAACTTTGCCAGAGTAAGGCTTTACTGAACAGTAAAGGTATTCACTTAGTCCAGCATCCTGTATGCAGAGGAGAGGAGCAGTTTATTAGCCTTTGTACCAGCCATCCAAGATGTGTGAGAAATTATTCGTTAGAGTGGACCGGACCTGGCAGCAGATAAGTGAAGTACCAGCAGTTGCGGATAGCCTTATTCCTAAGTGCCTGTTCCAGGAATCCAATGTTCCACATTTTAGCAGTGATGACAATCGCTGCTACTAGGAGCAACTCATGTGCTATTCAGTTATAACTTGTCTTCTTTTCCTCAGTAATATTGGTTCTATTGAATTCCTATTGCCTTATTCCTACATTTGTTATACTGATTACATGATGTTATGTGAGTTTTATATTCTTGGGTTAGTGTCCATCCTTCACTGTTCCTAACTGTCTGGAGTGTATATAGATTTGGTATACTACATGTTCAACTGTGTTATTGTGACTAGCATAGGAGACTATCTAGTCTGGGAGCTTAATTGTAGTGAGGAAGTCAGGCCAAGTTGCGCCTAGTGATATTTTATGTTCTGTAGTGCCATAATTTGAGTCGCCTCACCCCTGAAGTAGGTTGGATATTCAGTGGAGCTGCGGGATTCTGCCTGGATCATAGTGAGCCCACATCTCAACATTTTAAAACTACTTCAGAGTGCCATTTGGTTCAGTCGGAGAAACCCTAACCAAGGCGTGTGAAACTAGCAATATGTGACAACGTCTCAGAGTGTGTCCAATATACCTCCATATTTTTTGCCCTATTGCAGTTGATACAAGTATTTGTCCAGAAATTTTTCTGATCTCACTTTTTTTACATTCATCCTATTCTATGTTCATGATTTTTCTCACTTTTATTTTCAAATGCATTTAACTTTCGTTCCATATCTTTGGTGGTTCAACTTTCACTGGCGTATGTTAACATTAGAACTGAAGATTTGTAGCTTAGTCTAAAATCTGTACATCTTTAAGCTCCACATTTTGTAAAGGCTTTTAAAGACTGTTGTTGCTTTTCCAATGCATATCATATTGTATAAATTTTGAAAAGTGCATATTATTTTAGCTGGTATGACACAGCATTCCAAAATTCTCCATAGTAAAATTCTATGTAAGTTGTTAAACACCTTTTTGAAATAATAAATTTCATGTAAGGTTGTTGCTTCTCTATGTATTTTTCTAAAATAGTTCTCAGGGTAATTCTTTAGTCAAGGCAACGACTTCCAGTTCGAAAACCAGCTTGTTCTCTACTGACTGTATCAACTGCCTCTTTAAGTCTATTGAGGATAACTTTGCAAAATGTTGTTATCTCATAGCAGATAATAAGGTAATTTCTCTCCAAGTATTGCATTCGTTCAGCTAATCTGAAAAGAGGGTGTGTGTGTGTGTGTGTATGTGGATATTTTCACAATTATTCCAATGTTCTGTGACTGCTTCCTCTTCCTATGTTTTGTTAAATAGTTCTAGTACTTGTTGGATAGTTGTCTTATCTGCTCCTTTGGGCATTTCTGCTGTAATATTATCATCACTTGCCACCTGGTTATTTGCTAGGGAATGTATTGCCTTTCTTATTTCCATAACATTAATCTCCCCTAATTTATGGGCAGTGTGGTAAATTTGGCCTCTCCTTCAAACTTCATTAAGCCTTTCATGTATACTAAGAATAAAACATTTGAACTTTATTCGTAATACAGAAGGACCTCTAAGGTAAAGCTGTCTGCCTTGCTCTTCAATAACTAAGTCCTGTTTTTAATCCTGCCATCTGGTTCATGAATGTAAGTACTTTGGAGATCCTAGGGGGTTGCTGACAGAGAGCCGGAGTTGCACACCATAGGTAATCAGCCACTCTGCTGAGAGAGACTGAGCCATGTAGGATATAACCAAGTACAGTGAAGTAAACCCTCTTGCCTACAAACAACTTCAAACTTCCAAAGTGGGTTCTCAGGCCCATTTGATGATGGGAGGAGGGGGATGTACAGAATAGATACACTGACTCCTTAACAAGCATGCAGTAAAAAAATTGAAAAATTGGGTGTTTTTCCTTCAAAGCTGGAGCGCACCTGCTAGAGGCAAGGAAGCAAAAGTCAGATATATGTGCATGCAAAACTCTAGCTCTGGAAAAAGAATACAGCCAAAAAGCTGATAAAACAACTAGATACATTTTCACAAATGGTGAATGTTAAAAAAAAAATTACAATTAACAACAGTGCTGATAATAAAAATTTGCTTTGGTCACTCACCTTGTGTTTTGCAACATGCCTCTTTTTGATTGTCACTTTCGGATTAGCTTCACGTGCCTCTCTTGTTTCCCGCTCCACTTGCTCTCGAATCGCCTTGATTCTAGGGATTAAAACTCTCTTCAGGTGTTTAGTGAGCCGTGGGCTTTGGTTGGGTTCCAAAACTTCTTGCAGAAATATTTGTCTCGGAGTGGCTATAGATCTCCTTTTTCGCACAAATGATGGATTGACGTTGGGGATGACCTGACGATCTGCAGATATGAATAAATGAACAAATCAAGAACTTACATCACTGCAGTCAGCAGACTCTGATACCTGCAACATCCCCTTTCTCCAGTAGCCATTAAGAATACCCATTCTGATGATGCCATGTGAAACCTGACTGCTAATGCCCGTTTTCCCCTGCCAGTAGAAAATTGCCCAGACTCCCTGCTCACTCCCAGATATAATGTAATAACATTAAATTATTCAGTGCATGCAGTAATGACATCTTAACTTTTTCTATTCAAAGAATTGCTACCCATGAAAAACTATGTATAGCGAGTTATAACCATATTATACCTCCTACAGCCATGAAATACTGTGCACAGTAAGACAAATATAGTCTTGAAATACTGTGCACGGTAAGACAAATATAGTCTTGAAATACTGTGCATACTAAGATCATTTTAGTCTTTAAATACTGTACACAGTAAGATCATTCTACTTTTAAAATACTGTCTACAGTAAGACAATTATAGTCTTGAAATATTGTGCGCAGTAAGATAATTCTAGTCATAAAATAATGTGCATAGTAAGACCATTCTAGTCTTGAAATACTGTGTACAGTAAGATCATTCTAGTCTTGAAATACTGTGCACAGTAAGATCATTCTAGTCTTGAAATACTGTGCACAGTAAGATCATTTTAGTCTTGAAATACTGTGCACAGTAAGATCATTCTAGTCTTGAAATACTGTGCAGAAAAGACTATAGCCATGAAATACTTGAACAGAAGACAATGAAGACAATTACTGCCATGTTCAAATTTGCTGAATACTCCTTTAATATATATCGGCAAATATAGAGAACAAAATAAAAAAATGTAGATAACTAAACTGTCTAACCAAATGTTTATTAGTGATCTGCACAAATAAAGTTATAAAGGATTTTTTATGGGTATTCCAAGGAGCCTGATGCATTTTTTAGCGTTCTGATTTCATCTGAGTAAAGATTCTTCTTCTTCATCGCGTTCACCAGCTGTAAACTCTGGCGGAAAGTTCTGGTTGTTTGTCCAATCTGGACTGCAGTGCTGTTCCAGAATTTGAGTGTTGCGTGTGCATCTGTTTGTCATATCTGACTAATTTGTATGCAGACTGGTGGTTCCTGCCTCTCAGGCAGATGCACTCCAGCTTTGAAGGAAGCTCCCAATTAGTTGACTCTTACGACATGCTTCTTGGTAGGCAGTGGTTCTATTCTTGTTTTCCCTATAATAAGGCCTTGGAAACCACATGGGGGAGTAAAGATTTGATATCACAGCATTCAGGGCAAGCCCATATTAGCTCCGTCTGCTTTCCCAAAAGCCAGTGAAGAGCCTTCATATTGATGTTACCCGCTGTTTTTTTCTTGACTACCTGTCTTGCCTTCTCCATAAGTCTCAAGTAGCACCACCCAGAGCCCCAGACTCCCCGCTGCAACATTCTATCCAGATGCAGGTTTTCAGTATCTTCTACTTTATCTGTTACCTCACAGGTGAGAGATCACTTCCAGCTTGTGCAGTTGCAGTAAACTCTCACATGGGGCCAGTCCGGCCAATCTGTCAGCCCTTGAAAGGGTTAAGTAATCTGCATCTAAGGAGGTTAGTTGCGTATCCTTTACAGGACGTTGCAGAACCAACCCTAACAGCCTCTAGCGGTTGTGTGGTTTTTCTAGGCAAATTTATGTCTAGTAGTTTGCCATTGCTTTTTGGACGGTCGGCTTTCTTGATACCACTGTCAAAACCAACGCAAGGCGCATGGCACGGAGGAGGGATCGAACCTGGCATCCCGGCATTACGAAGCATTGGCATCGACTTAGCCACAGAGCCGACGCATCTAAGGAGAAAAAATGATAATATGAAATAGTAGAAAAAGTAAGACATTAGGCAGAGTGGATAAATGGAAGACAAAGAGTCAAGAAAACTAAATTATGTCAGTTAAAGCAATGGGGAGTTACTTAACAGTGAAAGATGTACTAAAATACTTAAAACCATGAAATACCTTGTACAGTAAGACAGTTGTAGCCGACCTCCCACTCATCTTTTGTAGCCTCTTCAATCTCAATACCCAGGAAGGGCCCATCATGCCACCAGGGGTAGTAGTAGCCTGGGTTACAAACACACTGATAACCACCACGGCGAAAGCCGTAACCCATAAGTGGCTCACACTAGACAAAACAGAAAGATAATAAAGGTTACATTTAGTTAACTGAAAAATAGACTTTTAAAACAACTGTTTCCTCTCAGCTTTCACTGGCCCCCTTGGGGAGGGAATAACCCACTCCTTTCTGACAAGTATGTCGTGCAAGGAAAATGACTAATTAGTTCTGCTTGTATATGTTGAGGCGAAGAGCGTGGATATGGCAGCCTAACTGTAAAAAACAATACAACAGCCATTTTAAGGGTGATTGCAGGATAAGTTTTGCTTGTGTATGTGTTAAAGCTGGATCAATCAATCAGGTGTCATCTCTGCAACAAATGGTTGGCTGCAACAGATCTAAAAAACTTAGTAGCCAATGAAGAATTCCCATACTGATGATGCCAGTTGAAACCTGACAGAAAATGCACCTGTTTTTTTTTCCTGCCAGTAGAACATTGCCCAGACTCCCTGCTCACTCCCAGAATGTTAATTAATGTTGAATTAGGAATCGACATGACAGCACTCAGGAAGCTCCTATAAGTGCTCAGCCCCCATCTTCAGCAGCAAGCGAAGAGTTCCTATTCTGATGGTACCAATAACCGTCTGCTGTATATCCATCTCATCCTTTCACCCAGTGTTCAGCGTCGGCCAGATCCCCTGGTAACTCCTCGCAGCGCCATTCTCCTTAGACCATAATGATCTATCTGCACATCTGCACTGTTTACTTGTTTCCAAAGGGCCCTCACAATATCTAACTTGTCATATCTCCCAGGTATAATGCAATAGCAACATGAAATTATTCAGCAACTGGCAGTAATGACTTTTAACTTGTTCTATTCAAAAGACTTTCTACCCATGAAAGTGAGTTATAACCATATTATACCTTCTACAGAAGAGTTATAACTATGAAGTTAGTTACAGCCCAGAAATACTGTGCACAGTAAAATAATTATAGTCTTTAAATACTGTGAAAAACACCACAAGACAGTACATTAACACAGATCAAAGTTTTTGAAAGTAAATTCAAAGAAATATAATGAAATGTTGCCAACTCACAGATGTTGTAGGCCTACACCTGGCAGTCCCAGCAAAAGCATTCGGATTAGGGTTACCCTGCATGATGGGGCACTGGTTCATGTCCAGCCTTTCAAATTCAATGTCCATCGTGGCCACTGCTGTGAATCTGAGGACAAATGTATCAACATGGCAGAAAATTAGGGTCAGAAGCTTCTTCATCCTCATAATTTTACCTCTTCAATATTATATACATGATTAAACAGCATTATAAGTCTATGATTATGCACCAGCAAGGAAATCAAAGTTGAAAGTTTGCGAGCATGCATCTTCCCTGCAGCAACATACGGATGTGAGTCATGGACTATCTACCCGTCCTGAAGGAAAAAATAGGGGTTCTCGAACAGAAATGCTATAGAAAGATTCTTAGAATACCATGGACAAAGAAGAAAATAAATACTGATATTCAAACAGATCTGAGCATCAAGAAAGACTGGCTAATAAACAGCATCTTGTCTTGGAAGCTGAAATATTTTGGCCATAACAAATACCACAGCAGACTGGAAAAAACAAAACAACAGAAAGCATGGTACCAGGGGGAAGGGGCAGAGGCCAATCAACATAATGGACACAGGACTCCTTGGATATGAAAGTGCATAAGGGAAAGGGCTTGTGAGAGACCAAGTTTCTTTCAGGTAGACAATGATGACAGCGACGTTCATCTAAGGACCTGCCATATGACGATGATTCTTTTATACATTGTTGCTTTTCTATGCAGATAACATTTTTCTTCACGTACACCGGCTGTAAACTCTGGTTGTTCATCCACTTCTGGACTTCATTCAGTCTTGTTCCAAAATTTTAGCTTTGCATACACATCCATTTTGTAGATCTGAATTATCAGTATGCACACTGTTGCTTTCTTGCCGCTCAGGTAGATGCACTCCGATTTAATGAAACCCACATGGTGAGCAGGAACTCTGAAGTTATAGTTATAAATCTGACTAAGTCAACAAAATGGAGGCTTGTTTGCTTATCAAGCGGAGATGAAAAGTTGCCATATCATAGTTGAATGTTGCCTCTTTAGATTCCAAGCTTTGCTTCAAATATGGCATTTTTTGTCTTGGCCACAATAAAATCAATCTCATTAATTAATTGTCAGAACTTGTACGTCGTGTCTCGGGAAACTATCTGAAAGGTTACCCCATCGATAATCACTAAATGAGGATATTCTGTTATTTTTGTTCAGAAACATGAATCACAATGAGGTCATTCAGTCATTAACACTAACACCAATCATTATGAAGACAGTGGGTGCTATATGTTCACATAAATCTATCACAATGAGAGTATATCCATTTCCACATGCTCAGAAACAAAACAAAACAAAAGTTACATCAATAAACTTACCTGGCTCTTCGCAAGTGAGTAAAATTTGAATATCTTGGCATAAACTCTACAATAGGACTTGAAGCTGTGACAATCCAGCGATTAGACTGTCCACAATCAAAGTATGGTTGAGTGATCCTAACAGGCAACATGGAAACAGGATCTTCACTACCTGGCTGCTGAGGGCCAAAGAATTTGAACTCTTCAAAGGTGTCTCTCGTAAACTTGCCAGTCGTGTTTGAGTACTTGATGCCAATAGAATAGGTAAACTTTCTTGTGGAGTCTGTGTCAGCTTTAATATCGGGCAACCAATACTCAACCCAGGGGTTTCCCTTGTAGCGTTTGTCTGTGTAGTTCCTGGCATTCCCTGAAGCCAAGTCCCAAATGTCTATCGTGCCATTTGTCGGTTCTCTGAGAAAGTTGGTAGGCTCATTGTAATCATCTTCCCTCCAAGCTTTGGGTCCAAAAAGTGGCAAAGTTCTGTTGAAGTCAAATGTTGTATACCTAAAAAAAAATAATATATATATTGTTGATAATGAAAAGAGAAGTATTGGAGAACTTTGTGAAAACTGGAAAGATCCATAATACAAGAAGCAGAGGGAGACAGAGAGAAAGGATGTTGGGTATTTTGAGATTATGAGAGGGATTTCAGGACTCCATTATGGGGTAGGGGAGGGGAAGCATAAAGGAAACTAATTAAACATGCAGACAAATTCTACATAGATACATTGAAGTTAACAAATGCATCAGACAGAAATCGAATGAGATCACAGCATGCTGGAATTTCCAATTAACTTCCATCCTCATCTTCAGTAGCCAGGGTCTAATATTAGTGGTGCAGTCTGTCAAATTATTTATTAATCTTGCCTTGCCTTGAGCACTTAGTGAATATCTGATACTCTGGCCACATATCATCACCAAAATAGTCTACCAACACCACCAACTGCTGGTGACTATCTGATCAGCTCCCTCAACATCTGTTGGTCAAGTACAAAGGATCTGATGTTTGCATGCCTGTGGCCTGCCCATTTAACATTATTCTGCATTCAGATTCTTGCTGGTCTGCCTCTTCTTCACTACCGAGCCATGTAGTATTGTTTTGGAGAGGCTAGTATATCCTGTTTACATTTCCATACAACTGCTTTTTCCATCTTTTCACTGATGTTAAGAAAGATTTACCGCTGCCATCAGATTTGTTTTATATGAATACAATGAGCTGAAGCAACAAATGTTTGGGACTAAAATAGTTAACAAACCTGAGACACTACAGCACAAAACACAAATTACCAGTTGGGATAGGAGCAATTGTTGTCAAAGAACAACCCAGAACCATTAATGAATCCAGCACTGGCAGAGATATCTGCGGCTGTGGACATATAAATGTACATGAGCCCAGGCTGCGTCTGAAAGTCCCAGGAATTGTTGAGCTGCTGGTAGATCAAGGAGAAAAAGAAAGCCCGGTTCAGTGCCATGTTGTGCACATGCAGCAGGTTGGTTCTGTTGGAAACAAAAGCAAAATAAAGTTTTCATTACTTTTCATAAAAATTATACTTTTAAAAGAATAAGATTTATTTTCATGTTCAAATTAATCTTCTTTGTTTTGTTCTCTCGACAAGCGGTTTTAAGATGAGAAAGCTAGTTCTCATTGACAGTTATTGTGCATCACATCCAAACAGACTGGATTGCAACTAGCCAGAACTGGGATCTCTCTGATCTACACAGAGAGCATGTCAGCAGTACAGGTTCAATATTTTGTGAGGGCCTGCCCACATAAGCATAGTTCTGTGTCCTCAGACTTGAATTTCCTGTGAACTGCAAAAGCTGCTGTGTCCAGTCTCCAATCTAAATACAAAGGTCGTTGGTATTGTGGGAAGAGGTTGACTGAGTCTTCAGGATCGAGTTCTGGACAGGAAGTGTTCTAATGACATTGATTTAGGTGTGTGTGTGTGTGTTACAATACCTTGTGTTTTACGATGCACCTTGTATGTTACTATAACTATGGTGGATTACAATACCTTTGCTGGTTACTATTCCTATTACTATTACAGTCTAAACCAGTACAGTGTGTCAAGGCAGCCATAAGATCAAGAACCAGAACACTATATCTCTCTCAACACCTAAAGCAGTAAAAGAGTTCAGCGAAGAAGAAGAAAGTAAATACTGACTGACTCCTTTAATAAAGATTTCTTATCTTTTGCTATCTCCTGCAATTTTCTCCCTGTTATCCCATACCTTTTACCTGTAAGTCTCTTTATGTGCATTAGTAAAACAAACAGACCCATTTCCCACTACAAACCCATCAGGCATATGGTGCTTACTCATACTGTTTATGTTTACTTGACGTATCTACATCATGGCACACGGGTGTAACCCTTAAGTGCTTCGTTCTACTTCCAACTCAAGCCTGAGTCTGAAGAATCTCAGCCCAGTGCACGAACTCGGTTCCACTGGCGAGGATCCTGAAATACTTTTGGTCACTATTTTCAACTGCCAAAGGATTTTTACATGTGCTAAATTACACACGGGCATCCGATCTTACCCCCCAGAGACCTGGGAGAATAACTAGAAGTCCACGTGAAAAAATCTCAGCCTTTACTGGGGCTTGAACCCAGGACCCCAAGCACGAGAGGTGGATACCATACCTCAAGACCACTCAGCCCCTTAGACTCATACTGTGCAGACTGTGAAGCATTTTATGGCTGATGTGGACAGTGTCTTGCTGGCCACTTCCCTGCTCATTTCCTGGTTCCTGTTTTGCATTAAATCTTCTTCTTCTTTGTTCACCAGCTGTAAGCTCCAGCAGAAATTCTGGACAGGTCATTCATTTGGACTTTGGCTTTGTGCAAGGGCCTAAGTTTTGCACGTACATGTGTTTTACTGACTTACTTATGTGCAGTTAGTTGTTCCTTGCTGCTTGGGCAGGTGCACTCTGATTTTGAAGGAAGCTCCCAATAAGTTGACTCTTACAGTAGGTCCTACAGTTTCGGAAATTCGCGATCTTTTCGACAATTTCCGTTACCATGGAAACCGTTTAAAACTTGTTTCGGAAATGTCGGCTGGGGTTTCGGGATGGGTCCTAATCTCTCATGAAATTTTGCGATTGTTGATTTTCACCCACTCTAAATAGCTGAAAACGGCGGGAAGGAACCGGATTAACAGCGCATGTGTACGACAGCCGGACATCCTCTGTTTTTCTGTTAGTCTATCAGTTTGATTGAAAATAGCCGTAAATTCGAGGTTGGCTTTAGTCTTAAACATTACCAGATGTGGTAATGCTAGTTATAATTGAATTCTCCGTCCAATTTTACATTTGTATATAAAATTTCTTTCCCGTCTTCGGCTGTTTAGATTTACAGTGACATTTTTTAGGCAATCGCATGCGGCTGAGTCTCATTGCCTGCCATCTTGTCCAATGACAGTCCAATGTCAACAAAGCCGATACAGAACTGCGCAGTAGGTTGTGCAGTGAAAAACTTCTTGTTTCTGGGTCACAAGTTTTAGCGGCTGTTTCTTACATCTCATCTCCACAAAAACATACATATATCAGCTCAGAAATGACATACAAGCCTTAATGAGGTACCATTGGAAAGAGATTGTTTACAGCTATCTAACTGTGCTGGTTTTATTGGTGTAGAGGGCATTTCACTGAAGTAGCTACTTACAGCATGCTTTTTTTTTTTGGTGCAGGAGGGGGTTTAATTTCCTGTTTCCTCTACAATGCAATGGGACCTCAGAACTCACAATGGGTATTACACTGGATTACCAACCTGTGATTTTAAGTTTCCCTGTATAATTGATTCAGCTCTAATTAGCCATCCTATATTTGATAACGCTTGTGGGGTGGGGGAGGGTTATGAACCTAAAATCTACTTTGTTTTAACTGTTACTTCATGATATCAATATGCAACTTTTTCTAAGTTGGCCTAAATGTTAGGATACAATAAGCTTAAAGTAATGCCTGTCAGAGCCAGTATACATTACCTGTTAGAGAACGTTCTGGCACTGAGCAACTTGTTGTATTGGGGCACCGCTGCCACAGAATCTGCGGGCAACATGAGGTCATCCTTGTGTTTTGACCGACAGTTCTGGGCCGACACGTTGGAGAACCGCTCATTAATGATGTCCCAGTTGTCCCTCTTCATCCAGGTGTAAGGAGTCGGGCTCACCAGGTATACAGCCCAGAAACTTACAAACAAAAACACACTTAACTGCCGTGTGGTTGACATGATCAGTGACAGTGCGCTGTATTTAAATTAAAAGTTCTTTTAATCAACTCAAATACGATCGTCTTTCATATTCACATATCTAACAGTGGCCTGTTTTCAACCTTTGTCTCTGCGAAAGATCGAATGAAACTTAATTAGGACCCTAGATTGTGACAGCTCACTTATAACCACATTCAAGTCACTTGCTATCACTTCCGTATTCTGTCCCTTCCTCAATATGGCGGTCTCCCCCTCTCTGACTAAAGCTAAGGTTTTGAAAAAACACGGAAGCGACACGGTGTGACAGGTCACAGGTATGAGATGTCTCACCTGTGTCACCAAAAGTATACGAAACAAACAAATGTTGAAAACAAAATGTATACACTGTTTACAAACACAGAACTACTCTAGTCTATTTTTTTTATCTTTCTGATATGATAGTTTAAAAAAAATAACCAAGACAAATCTAAATCGTTGTATATACAGTCGAGCAGATGACATAACAACTACAGAAATATGCTTTAATAGACGAATGCTAACATAATGGGCATATACAAACGTGTAATGAAGATGCGTTGAAAGAAATAGACTTGCGAAGAGAATTTATTAACTCGCACCAGAAGGAAACAATTTACATTTTTTATCATATGACAAGAAAAAAAAAAAAAAACACCTGAAGTTTTTCGAGACATCAGAAAAGATGGGGTTGGTGAAGAAAGGCAGATGGCTGTCAAGAGAGAAGATTCTGATGAATGAGTGAATGTGGTCGAATCGTTCTAGGACTGTATACTGAGCGATTAACAGAAGGTGACTCAAACAGTCACAATTCGGGTGAAAATCCTCCAGGTATAAATTCCAGTAACTCCGTTCAACCGTATAATAAAGTTATTTTTGGGTACCCGACGCGGTACGAAGTATCCGATTACGTTGAGAATGGTGTATATTTTTGCCAGTGTAATACCGACTCGCAGCCAACCTAACCATACGAGATCGAGTGAATAATGAAACTATCAGGCAAACTGTGGGAACGACACATTGTACTAGATTCATCGAGAAACAGCAGATCAAGTGGTTTGGCCATCTCGTTAGAATGCAGAAAGATCAAATACCATCACAGGCACTACATCTCAGAAGATCAACTACAAGAGCAAGAGGACGGCCGTAGACCATATAGATCGACAACATTAAAGACACTCTACGCCTTCACGGCATGACAATAGCCAGTGGCAGCCAACGTACACTGGATCGCAAATTATTCCTCCCCACGGCGCTTAACGGCAGAAGTGGTTTGTGATGATGATGATAAATATCGACTTTCGTGTTTGACCGTTTGCGCCAAAAGTTAGCTGCATGCACTTCTGGTATGACACGTAAGCGTAAGTAGTTCGACAGCTACCTTATACCTTTTTGTTTTGCGCGAGCAAGCTTCAATATTTTGCTGGGAACGACTTTTCGCCGGGTTGCCCTAACACATGGGCCCGCAAGGCACTTGCCAGGGGCCTCCACGAGCGTAAGGGGCCCCATGTTGATATGTGTATGTGAAGTGACTTGCCATTAATAAACATATGTTTGACATTTACATTAGTTCTATGTAATAATAAAAGGTTAGTTGCATTTCCTTTACAGGACGTTGCAAAACCAACCACAGCAGCCCCTGGCTGTTGTGTGGTTTCTCTAGGCAAATTTACGTCCAGTAGTTTGCCATTGCTCCTGGACGGTCGGCCCCCTGATACCTCTGTCGAAACCAACGCAAGGCGCATGGCCCGCAGCTGGGGTCGAACCGGGCACTCCGGCATTACGAAGCGTTCGCTTCCATTTAGCCACAGAGCCGACGTAATAATAATATAAAACCGAAATATAACCCCCTGCCCTTTAGTTTGTCTATCTATCTATCTATCCATCTATCTATCTATCTATCTATCCATCTATCTATCTATCTATCTATCTATCTATCTATCTATCTATCTATCTATCTATCTATCTATCTATCTATCTATCTATCTATCTATCTATCTATCTATCTATCTATCTATCTATCTATCTATCTATCTATCTATCTATCTATCTATCTATCTATCTATCTATCTATCTATCTATCTATCTATCTATCTATCTATCTATCTATCTATCTATCTATCTATCTATCTATCTATCTATCTATCTATCTATCTATCTATCTATCTATCTATCTATATCTATCTATCTATCTATCTATCTATCTATCTATCTATCTATCTATCTATCTATCTATCTATCTATCTATCTATCTATCTATCTATCTATCTATCTATCTATCTATCTATCTATCTATCTATCTATCTATCTATCTATCTATCTATCTATCTATCTATCTATCTATCTATCTATCTATCTATCTATCTATCTATCTATCTATCTATCTATCTATCTATCTATCTATCTATCTATCTATCTATCTATCTATCTATCTATCTATCTATCTATCTATCTATCTATCTATCTATCTATCTATCTATCTATCTATCTATCTATCTATCTATCTATCTATCTATCTATCTATCTATCTATCTATCTATCTATCTATCTATCTATCTATCTATCTATCTATCTATCTATCTATCTATCTATCTATCTATCTATCTATCTATCTATCTATCTATCTATCTACCTATCTATCTATCTATCTATCTATCTATCTATCTATCTATCTATCTATCTATCTATCTATCTATCTATCTATCTATCTATCTATCTATCTATCTATCTATCTATCTATCTATCTATCTATCTATCTATCAGTAGTGTGGTAGCGTAATACAGGTATTATTTGGCCTAAGCCGCCTTCTTTATTCTTTGTAAAAGATGGCGGCCAAATCAGCTTGGTCTGTTCTGGCGGCTTTATATATCCTTAGTAAATATCGATCGGGCGGCTAATGACGGCACGCGTGCTTGGTTTAGGGAAAGGTATAGGAAATCGATACTTTGTAGATGCATTATTATCTTCATAACTGCAGGTGACAGGTGGCGTTATATAAATGGTGAGGTCAGGAACACTATTTAGGTGAGCAGCGGGGGGCAGGTAGGGCAGGGGACCCGGGGCGACAGGGCGACTAATAGAGTTGGTGCGGGTTTATGTGGGTGTCTGCATATGTGATTGTATGAGGGGAGCCGTTTGAGACTTGCGATAAAGAAAACCTAGGAAGGCGACGTGGTGACCGGGGATATATTAGAAAGGGCGGTTCGAGAGCCATCATCATCATCTGTATCATGGGATCGAAGGTCGATCGCTCAGGAATGGTTTGAACTGTAGTAAAAAGGACGACAGAATGCTGGGTGTCTGGTAATACTGTTGAGGGTCGAAGAGAAGAGGCTAGAAAGGGCGACTCGAGCGCCATCATCATCATCTGTGTCATGGTATTGAAGGGATGGTTTGAGCTGTAGTAAAAAGGACAGAAGGGTAGCTGTCTTGTCATAGTGTCGAGGGCAGAAGAGAAGGGGCTTACCTGACATCGGTGAGCAGCGGGGCGGGCGGGGCAAGGGACCCGGGGCGGGTGTCTGGTAATACTGTTGAGGGTCGAAGAGAAGGGGCATAATTGGCAGACTATCTGACTTTGTAAATAAGTGGGCGAAGGTTCTGCATTCGTTGTCGGTATGTTGGGGTGTGGGTATTTTTAGGCGGACTGGTTTAAGGAAGACAAATATTTCTTTAGTGCAGGGCCAGATGTTGGTTAAAGTGGCGGATGACCGGGGATATATTAGAAAGGGCGACTCGAGCCCCATCATCATCATCTGTGTCATGGTATTGAAGGGATGGTTTGAGCTGTAGTAAAAAGGACAGAATGGTAGCTGTCTTGTCATAGTGTCGAGGGCAGAAGAGAAGAGGCTTACCTGACATCGGTGAGCAGCGGGGCGGGCGGGGCAAGGGACACGGGGCGACAGGGCGACTAAAACGGTTGGTGTTGGTTTATGGGTTCTGTAATAGACAAAAAATTATAAGTGGGTTGTTAGCGGGAGATATATATGTTATAAAACGAAACAAGTTACGGGATATGAAAATAGACATAGGCAGCAGTGACAGCCGGCAGAGGGGGAGGGGGCGTTTTAGGGTTTAGGTAAAGAAACCTAGAAAGGTGGTTTGATGACCGGGGATATATACTAAAGGGCGACTTGAGTGCCATCATCATCATCATCATCTGTGTTTAAGTTTTAGTAAAAAAAAAGGAAAACTTTAACAAAGAGGCGACCTTTGTGACATATTATTGGATATTGACCGATCAAGGAGGGTATGAGTTAAAATAAAAACAATATGGTAATTTATAGCAAAACGGTGACTCTTGTGACATATTGAGGAGGCCGACCGCTTATGAAGGGTTTGAGTTGAAGTAAAAAGGGGACTTTATGGCAAAACGGCGACTTTATGGCAAAACGGCGACTTTTGTGTCATAGCAGCGAATGCCAACCGATCATTGAGGTTTTGATTTTAGGTAAAGATGGGAATTTATGGCAAAATGGCAACTTTTATGTCAACAATAATAAGGAATGCCGGCCGCGCAGAAATAGTTTTAAGCTGTAGTAAAAAGGAAAACATACGACATTTGGCGTGTGTCTTATCATAGTGTTAGATATTGATAGGTTAGGGAGGGTTTAGTTGCAGTAAAAACGAAAGCGTTAACAGAAGGGCGACTTTTGTAACACATTATGGGAGGCCGGCCACTCATCCGTAGTTTAAATTGTAGTGGGAAAATAGCAAAAGGACGACAGGTGTGGCAAAGTGTCGGGTTCTGGCCGTACATATATGTTTGAGCTGTAGTTTAAAAAAAAAAGGAGAACTGTTGTGTCATATTGTTAGATATCACCGCTCATAAAGGTTTCACGTTGTAGGTCAGAGGCGGCGCTACCAGGCGACGAAGGTAGGCTGGGGCAATTTTAGGTGCCAAAAGGGCGCTATGTCTTTCTCGACAGACAGCGTAAACCACACACGAGACGTTACATGTCTTTCACTGGTCTTTACAAGGCAATAACTGAAGACGCCAGATAACCCG